CGCCACCTTATGCTCCTACAATTAATCTAGGCTTTCAAAACCCAGAACCACCTCAAAACGTGTAAGGCAAGACCTAGAGACCATTCCTTCTGAGACCGCTTGAAGTTGGTACCGGCCAGTAAGGGATTTCTCTCCCAGATGTAACGGACACACCTGTAGGTTTCATCTCCAACGGGAAGTTTCAAGTCAGAAAAAGCGCCGTAACTTATGGGCCAATCCAGTAGGTCCGACAAAGTTAACCCTCAGCTAATCCTACATTTCTCCGGCTCCTCTACGTTCTCCACCATTTTCGCATTTAGCTACCGAAAATAATCTTGCTTCTTGTCAGCGCTCGAGCAGTTTATACCCTAAACTACGTCCCACAGCCTACGTCTTAGCCATATTCCCTTGCTTTGCTTTCCTAACACCCTTTTTTTGTAACACTTGATTCATTGCGGCGAATATCACTACTGATCTAAGGTTATCCTCTTACCTTAGTTCAAAGGCACCTTCTGCGATAAAAGGAGGCTATAACCTCTCAGATGTATCAGAGGATCCTCAAGGCGATTCCGAAAGGTGTTAAAAGAGGAAATTGGTGAGAGCTTTGCTGGAAGCTGACCATTAGGCCCATGGGCACCCCTTAGGCCCATGCCGACCCCCACCGGCTGCTAGCTACTAGCTAGTAGCCACTACTCTATCTCTCTCCACTCCTAATGGTGTGAAAGAGGTGATAAGATAAAAGAGTCATATCCTACTATATATAATTACCAGTCGGATCGCCCGGCTAACGCCGAGCTCTCCTCCTTCTTGGAAGCCCGGCTTCGCCTCATGCAACTGCTTTAGAGTCGTGACTAACCGCTGTCTTCTAATCAAATGAATGTAGAAACGCGCCATATGATCGCAGGGCACTTTCATAATGAAAAGTTCAAAATCTGGTCATGGATAATCGATTACTCTCCTCCCCATCTCATGACAGCCATGGATGCTTCGGTCTCCGCAGTCGCTGCGTGCTCCTGTTCAGGCGAGCGTCGGTCGCGCCAATATGGTACCCACCTCACCTATCCCCAAACTAACCTCAGCTATTCCCCGCTCAGCCACCCTACAGGTCACGCTCAGCTGCTACGCGAATAGCCCGTGCAATGGTGCACTAAATGGTTGTGTTATGTTGTGGAGGGTGTTATGACTATCAAAACGCTACCACAATTTGATAATGCAACATTAATCGGTTCAGTTCCGATTGCGGTCGATCCATTTTCTTCCCATCTTATCGCAACCGTAGACGCCTTACCGCGCAGGCGCTATGTGCTCCTAATTCGCGAAATCGCCGTTCTCATCTGGTATCCCCCTCACCACATCATATCCCAGTGACCCTATTTAACTGGCGCCCACTCCCGCACGTGGATGCAGCCGCCACGTGAGCAGCTGGTGCAACATAGGGACACTACGCCGCCACTGTTCTTACCACCGCCTTGCTCGTGCTCACGTCCAGCTCCCAAGCGAGCAGCTCCTGCAATAGCACAGTCTACAGTGGTTGGCTTAGATAGGGGAGCTATTCACAATCCAAACAGCTTCCTAGTTCGTTGCTGTAACATGGATTAGCTTGCAGTTTTGCTAGGGGTTCTTTCCTTCTGTCTTGCCGCCTGCTCCTATCCAAGCGTACGCTACGCATCCCCTTACTGTACCCAGTTTGCCCGATTCAATCCATATGCCTCCTTCCCCTGCATGGGCTCAGATCCGACTGAGTACGCGCAAGGAAGTGAGGATGGGAGAAGGGGGTCACTCGATACTAACTCCCACCTTCCTCACCTCACCCCATTCCGTACTCGCCACTCCACCCCCCCCCCCCACCCCCCCCCCTCCACCTTGCCCCTTGCACGCGCTTACGTCCAACTGCCACGCGAGCAACCCGTGCAATGGCTCGGAGTGTAGTGGTTTTCTTATATAGTGGAGAGTGTTATCACAACCAAAACAACTTAGTTCGTTACGGTAACATAGATTGGCTTACAGTTTTGTTAGCGGTTGTTTCCTCATCCATTGGTGTGCGTTTCTACTGAAACGCGCGCTACGCACACCCCTCACTGTACCCCCCCCCCGCGACCCCTTCCCTCTGCCTCCCTCCAATACATGTGCTCAGCTCCGGCTGAGCACATGCAGGAGAAGGAGGCAGGGCGACCTGGCACCCCCACCCTGCCCCCGCACGAGCACACGTCCAGCTGCCACGGCAGCAGCTCGTGCAATGGCTCGGAGTGTACCGAGTGGTTGTCTTATATATGCTGTTATCACAATCAAAACATTGGATTGATACATCTGCACCGATGGGTTCCCGGTTTGGCTAGCGGTCGTTTTCTTCTTTCACTAACGTGTTTAATCCCGTAAAGCATTTTGCGGACGGACAGACATACAAACCGATACATACATACATATACATACCGACAAACCGACACACAAAGTTTCTGCTTTATAGAATGTAAGGATATAATCGCTAAGTTGTCTGTTGGTGTGTGTGTGTGTGTGTGTGTGTGTGTGTGTGTGTGTGTGTGTGTGTGTGTGTGTGTGTGTGTGTGTGTGTGTGTGTGTGTGTATGTGTGTCTGTATGTGTGTTGACCGGAAATTCATAACTTACTTCAAAACAGCAGTGGAGCGCTCAAATTGATAGGTGATGTAGGAGGTCGGGCAGGAACACTATTGGTAGGTGGCAGGACGTGATAACAGCTGATAAGATAACATGAGGAGCCTTAGAAGGGAAGGATCACCATCTCCATAACGCGCGTCACAGCGACGCTAGGACTTTGGTTCCAAGAAGTAGGATTATGGGCAAGATGGGAACATCATTGGTGGGTGGCAGGAAGTGATAACGGCTGATAAGATACCATGAGGAGCCTTACAAGGGGAGAGTCACCAAAGTCATAGCGCCGGCCACGGCGACGACGGGACGTTGGTTTCAAGAAGTAAGATAGGGGGCAGGATGGGAACAATATTCATGGCTGGCAGGAAGTGATAACAGCTGATAAGATAATATAATGGGCCTCAGAAAGGAAGGGTCACCAACCTGATAACATGCTTCACAGCGACGCTAGGACGTTGGTTCCAAGAAGCAAGATAGTGGGCAAGATGGGAACATTATTGGGGGGTGGCAGGACGAGATAACGGCTGATAAGATAGCCCCAAAAATTCACAGCATAGTTGTGGATTACTGGACTATTGCTTCCAGCAAGTAATTTAGAGGTGCTTAGGTAAAATTAGTAGTGGGAGATAAGTTCTGATAGTGTCTGACAAGGGCTTTTAGGAGTCGTATATTCTCAAATCACCGTGGCCAACGAATCAGTGGGCAAAGGTTCAGTGAGCCAACATGTTCCTATGTTTCTATCCCTTGGCGATATAGTCGGATTTGATTCGACCGCTAAACTGTAGTGTCAACAAAAAGTAAAAGCCCGAAAGCTGCTCAAATGATGTACTAGGATGTGAGGACATTTCACCATGATATCGATGTTATTACCCTCGAGACTCTTCCAACCGCTAGGCTGTCCTATTTCCAACGAATGGCGAGTGTTGTCAAAAATGTGATAAGCGCCAGTCATTGGTAAATGTTCATTGAAAGGGAAAAATACGATGAAATGGGCCGTATTTCGAAAAATGGGAATTAGGACAAGTGTTGTGCTCCGCAGAAAAACCCCTGATCAGTACCATAGGTTCAACCATGCGCGCAGTACTGCGCGTTAGCCAGACTGGTCGTTATGATAACGACGAATGAAAATTCGTGCAAACATGCCTTCTCTTCATTGCATACGCATGCACGTACGATTTGGCGTCGGCATCGTGTTCCATGTAAGGCATTTCGAGCTGTTTTCCCTTCTTCTATTCTCCACTAATCAGTTACCTCGCACTTTGCCGTGGGTATCTGAGCTCCGTTGCCAGCAATCTGTGGTCGCGGGCTTTACCTTCAATCTGTTTGACAGTCATGCGTCAATATTGACTTCATAGATTGTCTTCGAAGGCTTACAGAAGTCTTTTGCTCCCGTATCTTTGTTGATGTAGGCATGCGAATGTATGCGCTGTGAAACATGTAGGATCCGAATCGGCTCTCGCTGAGGCCAGCCACGCCTTTTACCTAAGGAGGACAGTGAATTGGTATCAGGTTTTCCTGAGAAAATGGGAACAGCGAGCCGTACACCGGCTGATCTCCGCCCGACAGCCGTATCGGTTTCAGTGACCCTCTGCACGAAGGTAAGATGTGTGCCACAACTCAGAAGGATCGAGCAACTGCGGAAGCACTCCCCTTTACCCGTTACATTTATGGAAAAAAAACCTGCTCATACCAGCCTAACTTTACTTGGGCTTGGAGTCGTCGACGGAGTTGCCACCTGAAACGAATTCGTTTTCAAGAATTGACGAATATTAGGGTGATTAAGCAGAGGCCTTGCAGTCTTGATGAAAGAAAATCATACCGGAGTTTTCGCTGCTGGTCCCGTTTCCAGTCTAGAAAATGACAACATACTGCTTGATTTCAACTTTCTCACACCCTTTACTTATTCTTTTTCATAACTTGCTCTTTTTACCAGCAATGAAACAGGAATATAGCTTGCACTAGATTCTCAGCTTTACATCGCATTCCTTAGTATTGAACTAGAATATCAGTCTCGTCGCCGACTGTCGCCGGTGCTGTTCCTTCTGTGATGTGCTCGGCTTGATCGGCCAAGCACAGATTTACAGCCTTACTATTAAGTTTTTGATTGCAGCCGAGCGTCCCCTTGATTGCACGGTTGGTCAGCGATCCTTAACCCAGCAGGCAGCAAAACCGTGACCGCTCGGACAGGAAGAAAAAATAGAAACAAATCATTGAAAAAAGAATACTGCAAGAGCCGAGCTACCTCAATGAAGGAAGTGTGCCCACACCCAGCGATTAGTGTAGTAATAATATGATCAGAATCCATACACTGGATCATCCTAACATGTCCCTTCAGCGGTGGGTTTTGGCAACAACCCATAACTATTCCGCACATAATGTTTCTCAATGGATCGACTCACAGTTCCGGAGGACACTCAATTAGATAACGAGCAGCTTGTAGCATTGTAGGTCTCCTCTTTGGATCCCCTCTCCAGCACGTCTTGATCACTCTTCGTACAACAATGGGCACAGATGCAGGGTCCACAACAGGACGAAATCTGTTGTCAGATATCTGAAAAGTCCTATGCCCACGATCGATGGCAATGCAACTGTATACATATGCAACACGAAACATCATTATTGCGTAAAATTCTTGGTGAAACGGATCGCCCTCCAAATTTTCCGACTTGGTCTCTTCTTCCGCAATCCCATCACTTTATCCATTTTTTCCGGAAGTTCCCGTCAAGCAATGGGTAAACATCACCACAAAGGAAACCCGTCGGCTCGCGCCTCTTTCTGTGATATGGCCTGGCTTCACCGTGCGTTCCTACTATCCTCTCACCATGCGATTTTCTTCTCCAACGGTTTTTATCTCTGAATTCTTTCGGGAGCAAGCTATCAAATTTCGTGGCAAGCACCGCCCATATTGGGAATGTGTTCCTCATTTCGTCCACTCATCCCTTGTGGACCTCAATCCACTCGTCGTGGTACCTATGCTGCTCTATAACTCTGCGTGAATTTTCGGCTCACCTCGCCCACCTCGACACATGCTCCGCCCATAATTGGCGAGTCCATCCCGCTTCAACAGTCAAGCTCTTCCTCACCTTTGCCGGTGCGTGGAGTGCTCTGGAACTCATACGAATTTTCAGGTTTGGCTGTGCCCACCTCGCCGTACGTCCCGTCCACAGAGGATTTGCGTCACACTTCTCTATCTGTGACCCCTCGCAGACCTAACCCCACTTTTCCCAGCGTCTGGAGTGCTTCGGAACCGTTTTATTAATTTCTGAGCTCAGCTCGGCTCCGCCCACTCCGCCGCACGCCCCGCCTACAATGGGTGTGTCTCACAATATCAAGCGAAGAACATTCACTGGCCTAGTTCCAGTTTATCCCGGTGTCTTGAGTGCATTCGGACTGCTTAATTTCCAGGCTTGTTCCCGCGCTTTGGAACCGAACTACGACTCTCCGAAATGAGTACCTTATACTCGAAGGTACGTCCCGCCCACTATGGGCGAGTCTCAACACACGCACATATGCTTCACTCCCATCAGATATTTGTATTCTCTAAGGTCTTTCTGGCGATCTCTGAACTCTCTCGGGAACCGAGATACTGAATTTTGTGGGACGCGCCGTCCTTCTCGAGCACGCCCCACCCATTTGTATTGTGGCCCGAATGTAATGGTGTTTTTTCTCGCACAGATTTATATATGGAAAGTGACTATTGTTCCCCAATATGTTCTACACTGTTTGATAGATAATTTCCTGCTTTGAAGGGGTAGTATGCTTGCCTTCGTATCGTTTCTTGATTTGTGTCGTTTTTATTTCATTGACAATGCATGGAGGGTAGAGTACTGTCGAAAAGTGGGTTTTCGACAACAACCTATTGCACTTTATCTCGGCTCTCAGGTGACAGAAGCTCTCATTGAGTGGTGTATATGACCAAGGGAAGGGGGCTTTTCATGGGAGCTTGATGTTGGCTCAAGCGATTAAAAGATGGGAATTGGACCTTGTGAATGTGAATTGCATGATGCCCCCCCCCTTGAGTAGCGACTACCTGCAGAGCCTACCCCCTAACTTTTGAACGTCTGACATCAACTAAGGGGAAGCTTGATAATGACCCTAACGATTCCCCATCCTTGATATGAATCTCCATGAATAAGGTGAGCCAACAACAGATCACTCGTTTCCCTCAATAACATCTAAGTGACGGGAACCTGAAAATGCAAGTCCCCCGTCTCGTATTCTGTGCTAACGGTGTACCCTGGACCTCTCTGAATGTAACCGCGTACAGCTGGGACCTGGATTATACCTTAGCTCTGATAGTTTTGTTGTCGATTCCCGTGAATGGTATTTCCGCGTTGTTGAATATTTCCCAAACAGTGATGCCGTATGAATAGACGTCACATTTCGCTGTATAAACTCTTGTTGCTATGACCTCTGGGGCCTGCCTGAAAACAATCCGTTTCCATGGGAATCAAGAATAGAGCGAGCTTCCTATTACAAAGCGTATTTTTTCCCAAACAAGTCATAAGTGCAAGGACGCCCCAAATTTTCGCACTTTCAAACATTCTGGGAGGCTAAAACTGCCTTGATTACCAATGGGTTCTTCGTACGATAGGACCTTTCAACATTTTCGGAACTATTTTGTCGTTCGCGAAGTCAAGCAGTATCTTTCTTGATATGTCATCCGAATATACAACAACTTTCACTACTCGCACATACGCGGGCATATCATATATTGGGGAAAATTGCCGAAGCAGAAGCTAAATCAACTTTTTAATGATGTATCTATTCACCTCTACTCCATTATATTCTGTAGAGCGCTTTGATATGCATGCAACTAGCTTATCTCTCACAGCAGCATCCAGTCGCCTCAGGCGTCAAGAGTGCACTAGACGGGCGCTTCGTTGCTTCCATAGTGCTTCATGTGTGAGTAGAATTCCTTCACTATAGGAGCTCGAAGTTCCTCTACCGACTTCACAGCCAAAGAACATGCATGGCACTCAAGAACAACGGTGCTCTCAAGGGTGATCCATCTTGCTGATAATCAATCTGAGTCGACAGCCTGACTATCGTGCCGAAAAATCGGGGAACAGCGACGTTTGATAAAGGAATAGCAAAATTCTGTTCCCAGTGAGTTTCTGATGCTACTCGGAATACATACGACAGGAGAAAGATGCACTTTTTTGGCGGCCAGTGGCTGTTATTTATTAAGGAGAGGGAAGACTGTGTACAAAGACGAAAATAGGCCGTACATAGTACATGCTGAAAGGGACGCTCCTCATGCGAAAAGAAAGCATGCGCAAGAAAAACGGGATCGGCATCAGAAATCCATTAGTAGTCGTAGCATTCTTTCAAAAGATTTACTAAGCTCAGAATAGCGAAGTGTGTGTGTGCGTGTCGCAAACTCGCAGCGCAGGTGATAGCAACAACAATGAGACGTTAGTCCCAAGAATAAATGTAGAGGGTGTAACTGGATAACTAATGGTAGGAGATAGGAGATGTTGGTAACCGAGATTTAATAAGTGTCGGAGAAAGCCACAAATTCCATGACGCGCATAACGGCGGTAGTCGCCGTCGCCGCGGCTCCAACAGTTGGAATGGAAATATCAATAACTATGTAGTGAGAGAAGTCAGGTGGAGATAGCCATAAGTTTCTTATGCGGAATTCGCTATTCGGTTTTGGCCACAATATGGCCGATGTAACTCAATATCAGATACTGAGTAGATGAAGCTCAGCATCATGTGACACCATTATAATTTTTTCAACATATACGACCGCTTACCAGACTAGCTTTCGAATAAAGGATGGATGTTCTATACTACGTGACGAGCAGCAGAAAACAGTTTTTCATTAACACCGTACCTACTCTCCATCACGAAAACAAGCGAGAAGAGTTGGAGAAATCTGCAGCGTAGGAGTGGGTGCGTGCAATAGTAGGACCCTTCTCCAGCAAGAGGTGGATGACGCAGAAAGAACCCTCAAGAGCAAGAGAGGCGGTGTGTGGTGGCTCTTTTCGCCTAATTTCACAGATCGCGTGGATGGATTGCATTCTCCCAAACACCAGTAACCGTAGTATTTGATGTCCCGTGAATTACTACGACTTAGTGAAGGCTATAGCGTGATGCACGGGAGAGGGGGCGTCACTCAAATTTGTATAAATATAACGCACCATCTGATAGGTATGGGTTCGTCATCCGGTATAGTATAGGATTCCGCCTGTTTTGATAGGCCAAAATCACTTATTTTTACTATATTTCTGTCAATATCAATGAGACAATTTCGACAGGCAACATCCCTGAAGTACTCGCTCTGAGAAGCCATGAGTATAGGAAAGGAGACAAACCTATGCATGCATCCTTTGGAGTGCAAGTAAGCCAATCCCAAAGCGACATCACCAGCATAGCCAACTTTGGCCTTTACAGGTACCTTAATTGTACTCTGTATTTTTCATGTAATGACATCGTCTTCCCTGGAGACCTTAGAAACGATTCCCTCACAATCAGTGTACGAAAACATGATCAGTAGTTTACTTTACCATTAGAGGAAAAAAAGACCTGCAGTCAGATATTGCTCTTTATCTAATCAGACAAGTTTCGTCGTGAAGTTAGATTGACTCATGGTCAGAAGCAGGAACCTTCTAGTCAAGAACACCAGTATGCATAAATCCAAGTAAACCTCTATAGTTTCAAGACGATAACAACATCAACAATAGCTAGGGGTCAAGCAGGCCCAACGTATCTAACGCCACAGCGTAATTGCCACAGCTACAGCTGAATCACATACATCCAAGTTTGTGGACAGTGTGAGCGAGAGCGCAGAGTTCGGGGCGGCGAACCACCACGGAGCTTCCAACATTCTGCCTGGACTGAGATATTCCATTCGATTATGGTTCTCAATATAGAACTTTCAGTTTTCATATAGAATTCTTCGAGCTTATCCTTGTTCCAACCTGATGTTGCGAAGGCAACGCGGTCCTCAAATCGGTGGTCATGTCATAACGCGTGAAAGAGTAAGCCTATAACGCTATCGCCTTTGCTTTCGCATGTACAGAGGGAACTTCACCAAAAAAACTTGAACTTTTGCCTCGGCGTTTCAACACTGTACTTGAGACGTCAAACTCAACGGGAAGCAGACTGTGAAGACCAATGGCTGGCCACCACACACGTGAAATTGTGCTGACAATAAATCGAAAAAAAGAAACAACAATCCGTGGGTACACAAAATAGGATCCCAGCAAATTTGCTCACTCTGTTCACAGGAATTCAGTTTAGATGAACTCCGGTGTTCTAATACATGTGTTACTTCAATTAAGATGGAAAACCATAAGGCCCGATTAAACAGGTGGAAATTCAAAAATTATAACGATTTTCACTATTTTCTACCACTGCGTGTTAAGTGAGCGAGTTAGGGATCCTCACCCTCTTCGAAAACTCCTGGTAAAGAGAATCGCTCTGTTGATCTACACCGCACAGGATGCTCCAACCTACAGACTGTTGTGTTCAAATTCGCGCGCGCGGGAAGACCTGGCAGCCATGCCATTTGAATGCACACGCGTTCGCGCTTTGATTCGTTGGGGCGCGTTTTTTTAGACCCCTAAAGTAAACCAACTTGTCTTTGAAGGATTACTGAAGGATTAGGATCGTTAGGAAAGGCGAAAACGCAGTCGTGTAAAAAAAAGATTTGGGCTTCCCGAAAAGTACTGAAATGTTTATAAGGTTGCCAAGTTCAGAGAGAAATTCAGCGTTGGGGATGGGTTGGGGATTTTGAAAACTGGATGCATTTGCAAATCTCGACCCAGCCTCGAACACTAGAGGATGCCTTCTTCCCAATAACCACTTAGCTTGTTTCTGAAGTTTTCGGGATTCATGAGAAAAACGCGTTGGGGATTTTCTGAGGAACACTCCGAGCAAGCGAAAACGCCGTTTTCTGTGTACCGTTTCAAGTGGGCGTATTCGGATATCCAGAAATGCATCTAAAATGCATCCCTTCGTGGAATAGGAACAAACAGTAGTTAGTTTAGCGCCCATTAGCTTCATTTCTGGATGCGCCATGCTTAGGCTCCCACGCAGAGGTAGTGGGATGGTGCAAGTTCTACGCAATGCCTGTCTACGCGAGCAGATGTGGATTTGGGGAAGTCCATGGCCAACCTACGCACTTGCTTACAGTCTTGTCGGTTGCGGATGATGGGGCGTGTCCGCCCCATCATCCGCAACGGAGAACGGCAACCGCACGCCGTCAGATCCGTGCTCCACCACTTGCTAAGTCCGAAAGGAGACCAACTGCTGGAAAACGTCTGAGACGAACGATATGGTATTGTGTAGTTCGCTCGGACGGTTGGGCGTGTCAGTGCGGCTGCGTTTGGCGCGGTGCCAAACTCGTTCCCACCAGTTGTTGAAGCGGGCAAGTGACAATACTGTATCATATCCTTCGTATTACTCGTTTTCTACCACTTTTTGTCGCATGCGCGTTTCAACAAGAAGGCAGAGAACGGCCTCAACGGTGTGAACACTCATACTGCCCGACACGCCCAACCGTCCGCAGAGAACTACAATGTAGTCTTGTCGTTTGTCGAAAGAAAAAAAAACAGGTTGGCGCCGTACCAAGCGCGGTCGCTCGGACACGCCCCATCATCCGCAGCGAACCAGGGTATGAGATATTGAGTCATCTATGTACTTACGAAATGATGCCAACTTATTAATGTTTCCAGTTAATTTGGATTAGTACAGTTGGTGAAAGTTTTGTATTAGGTTGTCCGGAAAGTTCTCAGCGTTTTGAGTGTTTCACTTTAAACGATCATAACTTTCTTAATACTCATCGGATTTAATCGAAATAGGCACCATTCGAATCAGCACACTTTTGCCAATGTGACAGCAGTCGATAAATCCCATCAAAGAAAAAACTGGGTGGTCGAGAATCCACGAAATCCACGAAGGCTTTTTTGCCTGGTCCTGATTGATGAAGTATTTTCCAGCAAGGAAGTTCTGAAAATGTTTGAAAAGGTGATAGTCGGTTGGTGAAAGGTCTGGAGAATATGGCGGGTGAGGTAGAACTTCAACCCCCAATTCGTTCAATTTATGGATAGTGATTTGTGAAACGTGTGGGCGGGCGTTGTCATGCAGAAGAATCGGACCCTTTCTGTTGACAAGTGCTGGCTGCAGCTGACGCAATTTTCGGTACATTTCGTCGATTTCTTCACAGTAGGACGCTGTGATGGTTTGGCCTGGTGACAAAAAGTTATAGTGGATCACACCAGCCGATGACCACCACACTGTGACCATAACCTTTTTTCGTGAAGATTCGGCTTTGGAAATTGCCTCGCTAACGTCTCCTGTTATCATACATGATCCACTTTTCATCACAGGTGACAATTCGGTTCAAAAACGGGTCGTTTCTGTTGCGCAAAAGCAGTGAAGAAGAAACCTCGAGACGTGCCAATTTCTGCCGGTCACTCAAATTGGGCACCCACTTGTCGAGTTTTTTCACCTTCCCAATGCGTTTCAGACCATCCGCAACTGCCAACGCCTAGCTTTTCTGCAATCTCTCGAACTGTTTGGGATGGGTCAGCCTCCACAAATGCCTTCAAATCCTCGTCAGGTATTGCTTTAGGTCGACCGCTATGAGGTTCATCTTCAAGGCTGAAATCTCCAGAACGAAATTTGTCGAACCATTGTCGCACGGTGCTTTCTCCAACACTATTGGGCCCCCACACCTGGTTAATTTGTCGAGCTGTCTCGACTGCGGATTGACCCAATTTGTAGTTGAAGAAAAATATCGTCCGAAGTTGCTCTTTTGACATGCTTCAAAAAGTCTTGGGAAAAGGGGGTTTATCAAGCAATGGTGAAACGGCAATTATACCATCAGATAGCGCAAAAATTCTCTTCAGGATGTACTACTGAGACGCAAGGGAGAATGAGTTTTTAATCAGCAATGAATGTACAAAAAATAGTAACACAACAATAACTTTCCGGAAAACCTAATACATTTTTGTCACACATTCTCGACAAAGCAAATTTCGCTATACAGGAGCAGCTTACTGACACCTTTGCGCTGCTCTTTATTGGGTGAGGGACTAATACGACCTGTGCTGGACCAGTAGCTGCTTGTAATGGTGTTCTCAAAATGCAAGGTAGAAGATGAGGTTCAGGAGCACGAAGAAGAAGAAAGGGAAACATTTGTTGTCGTGGATGGTCTCATAATGCTCATTGCGCACAAAAGAGACGGACGAAGTCAAGCGCTATCCTGATCACAGTGGCTGGACCCTTGTCGAGCTTTCCTGCGAGACTGACATCCCTGCTGCAACTGCTGCCCGAGTTATGTCCGATAAATTGAGGATGGTCAAGAGGGTGTGCGCATGGGTACCTAATTTTCTTGTAGAAGCACGAACGCAGTACCGATTCTATGCCTCTAGCAGTAATGTTCTCAGCATGAGATGTCATTCACGACTGTGAAAACGCACCCCGGCCCTAGATGAAATATGGGTGGTCTTGAACTCCGAGCCAAAACTCACAAGCGTCAGTTTTGTATGCAAGCATATGAGAAACTACCCGCATTGTGCCATCACAGCGAAGGATTTCTGCACTGCGCCTTTCAAGTGTACAGAAAACAAAATCGTCGCTGTCGGTGTATATTGCCTGTTCTTCGACAATCAGATCGACAAATGGATGATACCACACAACTACAAGGCCACCGTTGCTTGTCATAGTGCCAGACCCCGAGTAACTGTATTGTAGGGCAGTGCTGGGACACAAACAATACTGAGACCTGGGTTCAATCGCCCCATTCGCCCAACATAAAGCCGTTCGATTCCAACTGTTCTGGTCAGTCGAGGGTACTCTCCGACGGCAAACGCTACAATGTTTTGTCATTCGCCGAAATTGGCATCAACAGCAATTTACTCGCACTTGTTGAAAAAACGAAGGTACCAGAGGTCCAAACACTTCCGGGGCACTGGAAGCGGTCGCGAAGCAGGGATCTACCTAACTAACGTCAAAATATTGCTTTTTTTTAATCTATTTTCCTTTTCGTTTCATAAACCACATTTTTCAATCGTATGACCTAATAAGAACGGTACTCGGACGATCCTCCCCCCCCCCCTCGACCCCCTTTTGGTGTGCTTTTGGGCGTAGACACTGGCACATTACTGCAACTGCAGACCCATTCACCTGACACATGGGAAGGATCCACGCACACGCAGGTAAGTGTGCAGCTTGCCTTCAACTGTTCTTGTGAGTGAAGCTTGCAGGTAAACTTAGCGATTACGATGCTCATAAAAACCTGGTCAGACTACCTACTTCAGTCGCCTGCGTATAGCTAGAATCTTAACTGCGATTCAAAAGAAAGATGTCGAGTAG